CATACTTTTCAAAACATAGAACAGTAAATCATAAAGTAAAGTAAACAATTATCTCTTCTAGTTACGACCTTTGTTCCTGGTTGCTGCTTGACGTAGGTTGCCAAGTCTTTAAAACTTTTGCACGTGGAGGATATGAAACAAAAAATTTTTTCCAGGTTTTATATATACAGTTGAATAACCAAAAAATTATAAATTACTGCATTAATACCATAGAATTCAACTATAATTTATCAAGCTTAGTAATTAAGATGTCTTTTACTCTTTAAAAAATATGAAATTTCGAGCAGACTAAAGACACAACCAACCTCATTGAAATCTTGGTTCAAAAGAAAGAAATGGTTGAGAAAGGTTGAGAAAACCACTAGGGGGCATTCTAAGCTTCCTATTGGTTATTCTTGTCATAGGGGAGCATTTCCAAAAATGGAAAGCGGTGGGCGGGGCCACTGTGTTTGATCTATTACATGAGCAATATCTTAGCAAATAAAAAAGATAAGAAGACCTTCTTATTTTATATTCTTGCTTGTCAATATCTGTAATTTGAGTTTCTAATTTGTACGAAATTATAGACTTAGTATTTTGACTTCCCAAACATCTAATTTGAATCAGTGCTGTATTCAACATACCACATGACACACAAAAATCGATGTTTATGAGTTTTTAATATTTACTTTTAAATCAACAAATTGAGTAATGTATAGTTCTAAAATTTGAATTATAATCTACAGTTTGAAACCAAACTTACTGATATAAAATTTTGAATGCGAGTCAACAAAAGAGATGACATGGCTTTTCACCTATGACCCATCTCAAAAGGGTTAAACAACAGCACAAAGCACCAATGATAGGTTAATGATAGCCAACTGAAACTATACCATTCACTCAAGTTTCATTTGCCACATACAGTTTCTATCATCAAGATTTTCCTTAAAGACTAGTGGTAGAAATGGTTACAAAATGATCATTTACTGGTATCAATGTAACTATTAATTAAGCATTCCTATTGAAATAAATATTTTGATTAATGTTATTAAATGTTTTCTTAATTATTGGGCACTTTCTTACTTAGTCTGATTTTTGCCACTATGGGGCTCAGCATTTGCTACCATCATAATATAATATAGATTCCTCTAACCTTGATTCTGCATTGACACACCCACTCATTGCCCAGTGCAGGGGTTCATGCATATGATAGTAAAGTGTGCCTACAACATCAAGCATAATTAATAAGAGTGAGAAGGGAATTTTCAATTGAAAAGGGTTTCTACAGTGTCTTGTCATTTCTGCTGCTGGAAACACTGTCAGATTGAACAGATCATAAATATTACATTTTTTCATTTGTTTGCTATTTATAATTGATCATCAAATTATTAACCAAATGCTTGATTGAGGCCAGAAAACCAATTTTTGGTATAACTGGTGAATAATCACATCACTATTGCACACTTTGATTGCACGACTTCAAGAGTAGCATGCTATAAAGAAAGAATAATATGATACTTTCCAATTAAAACATTCTTAATCATCAAGCTGTTATCTACTTGTTTCTCTGTTCCAAAGTTACCCACTAGTTAAAGCAGAAATCATCAACATCAAATTATTTTCCAATCCTCCATCAATAAGACACACCCAAAAACATGATTCATTATCATTCTTTATCCTACCTACTCTCTATGTTAGAACAATAAGAAATATACAATAACGTTTAAATCCCACTAATGGAATAATACCAAATTTAAAGCAGTTCAATGTTGGACTGAAGAAGACATGTGAAATATTGGAACAGTTTCCACTTAAATTTAGTATTGTTCCATTAGTGTGGATTTAAACTTTATTGTAAATTATTTTACACTGTATTGTGTATTTACCTATTTTTATAATAAGAATTATGATGCATCATTAACACCCACCATCTATAGTAACATTATCTTGGAATGTAATTCCTTATCAATTCTCTAACTCCGTTCTTCTCTCTATTTTAGGACGTTCAATGACATAGTTCACCAAAAACTCCCCATTAAGAGAGGTTCAGTGTTTCTACACACCCTTTCTTTGTTCAATCTACAAATGCAATAACAGTAATGCTGTTCCAAGAGGCATTCTGGTGCATTTCTAATATGAATTTAGTAAAAATATGACAGCTTTTACACCTATTGATCCTTACCTTTTTCTATTTGTTTAGCAAGTGAGATAGCAGAATCAGAATTTTATATTTGTGGGCTTTTATTTCAGTTGTTCATCATTATTTCCTTTGTTCTGGCTCACATTCTAAGATAACTTACTGGTAAAAGGAAAGAAGAATGTAACAATATGTCAAACACACTATATGTGCTATATCCATTGCCAGTGCAGCCTCTTGCCTAATACCAGGGCTCATCAGGCTGGTTTAAATATGACAGACATAGTAGTCATCTAGGTGACGTTTATCAATTTTATAAACATCTGTTATGGTGTGCACAAGATTAAGTTAGTGAAGTTTAATTATTATCAATTTTATATCACTTAGAGTCAGAAATCAGAATTATGTTAAGGATTAATAAAACAATATTATTTATTTATTTTTAATACCAATTATTAATTATTATGATTATTTTTACTTGAATTAATTTTAGTATTACTTAAATATTAAGTGCATCATTAAGGGCAAATAAATGTTGACATGTCCCACTGTATGATAAGCAATGGCAAAATATTCTGACGACTCAAATTCTTATATATTGAATATTATTTTTAAGTCCATCATATTCAATTACAATGTACACAAATGAATTAGTTCATATTTTACTGAAAAGGAGCAATATTTGTCAGATATAAATGATCTTGATCAAGAATATTGTAATAGAATTATTACAGGTAATGGTGATGCCATTTTGAAAAGTGAGATACAGTGTCAAAAATAAAACTTTCACTTCTTACCATGTTTTTTATGATTGAAAGCCAGAAGTGGTGATTACTATAATCAGTAAAATTAACTATCCAAAAAAATATGTTAATAATCTAGTTGAAACTATAAAATGGATTATTCTGATCAATGATAAAAAAAAACTTAAATTTCAAGATGGAGAAGTATTTTTAAGGTTTCTTTCCCAACAATATTTCGGAAATTTCACAATCTAAAAATGAGGGAAATAATAAATAAAGTGACATGTATTTTTTTCAGCCAAAGCTACATACTATTTAGCTAGTTTGTCCAAAGTTTCATATAATTTGGTTAAGTATCACCACTGTTAAAAAGTAACAAAAATCAGGGGGTATTAGTGACACTTCTCCAGTCCATACAGGGTTTAAATTCTCATTTGAAAATTATCATTCACAAAAGTTCTGGAAATGAAGTACAGTTTCAGTTCAACTTTGAATTTACTATTTAACCCTATCATGGTTGGAATACTGTTTAATACCATGAATGTGAAGTACCAACAGTCAAAGTACTAATCGACTTCAACACAAATACTTTATCAAATGGTAAAGGATGAAGATGTTTTCTATTTTCAGCATTGTAGACAAACATATTTTTGTTATACTGAAATAAATTTAATATTATTACTTGTTATATCTTCCATCAGTTCAAGTTTTTACCTGTCTACATAGACAACTGCTCCTCTATAACATGCGCAACAGGTCACTGGCTTCAAGTCTGTTGGTAACTAAAGCTGCTACATGGAGCTCTTTGTATAACAATTTTTGTTGGATTACAATTTTGCATTAATAAGAGAAGTTTTCATTTCACATACTAAGTACTTTGTGATGCTTACAAGTACATTGGTAATGCTACAGATGCACTTATTACATATTCTGACTATCAAATGTAATGAAGTTTAGTCTGATATGTACATACACAGAACAATATGCTCAAAAGCATTGCTAAAATTCATATGCATGAATCACTTTGATTTTCAATGTTTTGTAATCAAATACCTTAATGATTAAAGAAATGAAAGTGAAAGACAAGATACTTATAGCACTTAAAATTATTTACTGATTTCTTTAAAGCCAATTTAATTTGATAAAACACCAGAAATCAAATTCCCTATGTTTTATGAATACAAAGACTAACTTTTGTGGTAACACTTTATATTCAACAATTACTTGACATTGTGTGTTCATTCTTTTCTGAAGGTCTTTATGATTGGCAGATAACCAACTGCTTGCCTCCACCTCCATTCCTGAATTACTTTGACATAAGTTTAAATTTGTACATCTACTTATTGAACCTCAACTTCAACAGTTTTTTGTTAGTATGTTAATGGTGATATGTAGACTTGTGATTTATCATATACTAAGGGAATGTTGACTCTACTATAAAAAAATTAGCAATTTAATAAAATTCATAATACCAAATGACTATACAAAACAAAAATTCAACGTCAGTATATTGAAACGTTTTCTTAATTAATAAAAACATGAACTGATGACAATTAATCTTTTAAAAATTACGTATAAAGAAAAAGTATCTAAAAATTTTAATTTACCTAGCTTTTTTAAAATAACGAAATAGTTTTAGTTAGAGCCTGAAAAACTGTCCAAGACGTAAGTACAAATAAACATTGATATCAAAACACAAATCATTTATTTGTGACTACAAAATGTTACATTTAACGTGTTTGAAATGATAAATCATAAAACTTAACATACAGATTATGTGTGACTTTAGTATGAAACTTTAGAGAGAGTATTAAAATCTGACAAACTTCTGGCTATGAATAACAAGTACAAACTGTGGACAGTTAAGAACAAGATGTGCCACATCAAAACATCATGTTATAAGTCTCTAAGAAAACCTTACTTGTAGTACTTGTACAATATTGTTGCCCCCCAGTAGCACAGCAGTATGTCTGTGGACTTACAACACTAGAATTCGGGTTTCGATACTCATGGTGGGCAGAGCACAGATAGCCCATTGTGTAGCTTTGTGCTTAACTTCAAAAACAACGACAACAATGTTGCTATATTTATAAACCTTTGAACATGGTATTAAAAATTATTGTGCATTATCTTCATAAAAATAAAGTCTAAAAACAAATCCTGTAAAATTCGTCACCTTATAAATATACGAGACAAAGTGGCATAAAAATGACTTAAATTATCATTGGATTACAAAAGATTTACAAATAAATTACTTACTGGATTAGGTTTCTTACTCAGCACCAGGTCTCTACGATATGAGTAAAACTCCCAAACCAAGGAGGGGTTGGCAAGAAAGGCTCCAGGTGTGGCAATATCCTACAGTATAATTTCAAAAGCAGCACACTCAATAAATATTATGTTCAGTAGCCTAAAACCTGACAAAAAAAAAGTACATTAAAATAACTAAAGCTGAATTCAGGGTTTATGAATGACACAAACATTTTGCTTTTAGCAAATCCAAATACATTTTGAAATTCAAAGAGATATAAAGTATAAACTGAGAGGACATCAAACACTGTTTCAACATCTCTGAATTTATGGTTTGATCTCCTCCAACATTATTGGTGTTAGTGGTACTCTATATAATATGTTTCATACATCACTGACCACAACTAAAGCAGACACTACACATGAGAGGGAAAGAGAGAAAGCAATAGATTGAGGATCAGCTACTTGGTAAACATTATTTCTAATCCATGTCAACAAGGGGGTAATATATACTTTGCTCTTACTTTCCTGGAGTACAATATTACATACAACTGGGATTCTATATATGGTCCAACAGTGTTTCCTCCAGTACTTTTATCACATGACCCATATAGGTCAACTTAATTGGTAAATACCAAGTGAATTAGAGGTGGGTACCTAACTCGATATAACTGAGTAATCAAAATTAGTGTTTCCAATTACTTCAACTATAAATATAATTGAAATATCTTCCATTGTGATTTCTCATTATTTTCAATTAATTCAAAGTTATCCAGCATAATAGTGTCATGACTCAAAAAACAAAAAAAACAACAACAAAACATTATTACTACTTTCAATTATACCAACTATCCAAATCTCATGTAAAAATAATTGATTAATAAACAACTAATGAATTATCAAATACCAAATATCAAATACTAATTGCCCAGTTTTAGTATGAATATATGTAAACAACCACACATGTAAATATTCATATTTATGAGTATATTTACATAAATAAACCTTTCACTTCAGTTATTTTTTCTGTTCAATTAATCTACCACTCAAGTAGCCATTAACTCTCTAATATTTACCAAAACCTGGCTAGGTTTTCATAAGCAAAATTATATTGAGATCTATGTTTAAAATTTGCAAAATGAAACATAGGTATGTAAGATTTGTATCAAACAGAGATCATGGCTGTTTTGAAATTGTCTGCCTGATGAAGTAGTATGTTGGATGTTTTATTAATAGATATATGGATGGGAAATATTACATTCAGTCCCACATGATGGTTGGCTTTGTTTTTATGGTCATGTGAAGCAATACCTTTGATAAGAGAATGGATTACTGACTTGCACAAATAACTTGTGCTTCGGAGCAACATTTAAGGAACTATAACACTGAATGAAGAAAATTTATGCATTTAGCTTAGCAGTAAATTTCCAAGAATAATGATGGTTACAAAGTACGAATGCAACTTTTAAATCTATGAAGAATTTTAATCTTATAAATAAACATTTTACCTAAATTGTATTGTGTAATGAAAGGCAAGCCTACAGATATATGTATGATAAGAATATAATTATTACTGATTTAACTTGAAAGTTGTCATTCCTCAATATGTTTTACATGAAAAAAAAATTCATGTTTTTTTATTAATTTCCTTACAACAATGGCTATATTATTATATCAATATACCTTCAATAAGTCACATATTATGCTTTTTTTTAATCATTTAAGTATATAATGACCCTAAAATTTACATTTTCATGACCCAAAAATGTATTTCCTATAGATACTCACCTTCACACACAGAATAGCTTGATCCCTTGTGCATCTGTCTATGAGATTTGCATGCCACTAGCCTTGAGCCTACTTCCACCTGAAAATCATGTGTTTAAATTGAGTTGCACCAGTGCATGATAACATCATGGGTAAGAAGGTGTGAAGAGGTGAATATCTATTGGAAATATATTTTCAGGTAAGGAAAATATTAACTCCCGAGATGATACCTCACCTTCTCACACAGAATAGATAAAATCCCTCATTGAAATGGTGGAGAGGCCAGTGAAAACATTTAAATTAGATGAGCTCCCTTCAGAAAGTGCCCAAAGGGAAATCCCAAAGAGCATGACACCTAATGGCAAGGGCACACCTGTGGGAGAAATCATCTTCAGGGTATACTCTTCACCTGGAAGGTAACAGAAGGAAAGGCAAACGAGCCCCAAGTGTCACAGGGATGGGCAGAATTTTAGCATCACTAAATGAGTGCCTGCACACATAGAAATGGTTGGCAAACCAGTGTAGGGTGGTCAGCTCACGATCAGATCGTACAGTGTTTGTCTGACCTTGACTCAACTAGACAGACAGATAGAGATGAGGGTGACGAACTTGTCCTCCTGCAGAAGGGCACACTAGCTGTTTGAGGGGTGACTCACACTATACAGACAATGCCACAACTGCCCTACTTCCCACCATATTGTGCTGTACTGGTAAGTGGCAAGGGTTTCTCATGCTTTATTTGAAAAAGGAGGGAGAATTTGAATTGGGGAGAGTTGGAGAAGTGCCCGGATCCCCATGGATGCCTGCCAGAGAGGTATTTTGCTGGAAACAATGGCCAAAGAAGTGATTTCCTGGTGCCTGCTTTTTTCGTGATAGTCCATGGAATAGAATAGTAAAGTCTTAAATGGACAACTGAGCAATTGTAATGCCATGAGAATACCTTTAGTGGTCTTTCAGAACACCTCATCTCAAAAGTGGATACTGGTAGAGCCAGGGCAGATAGTTTGAGTGCTTTCCATTACCCCTGGCCTAATGCAGATTTTGGGAAATAAGTACACCTTGGGATGCAACACCAGCCCCCTGGCAGGATCCTATAAAAGGAAAAGGTGATGAAAAAGAAAATGTACTTATCCTTCTCAAAGATGATATATAGTAGTATTGAAGAACAGTGACTTAAAACAGTTAAAATCCCGCAGGAGAAGAAACAGCCAGATGGTGAAGATAATGGGAGATGAAGGTGTGCAAATACATTCACATGTCAGCCTTAAGGATCTCATCCAAGTGTCAGTGAAAATGATATGCAAGTGAGGCAGTTGATGAATACAATGTAACAAAATGTGAAAGACTGATCACCTTCTCGTGCAGCCAGTCTTAGGAAGAAAGGCCTGGTCTGGATAGAGAAGTAAGGAAATACAGTGAAAGAGAGTGCAGGAAGTATTTTTGGCACAAACAACTGAATGTCAGCAACCACAGATGAGAAGGAGAAGAAAATATGTCTACTAAGAAAGATGGTATAGTGAACATGAAGCCAATGGCTCAAACACAGTGTGTAAATCTAAATGGGAGTAGAACAAGAGGGTCAGTGAATAAGGAAGGATTAGAACAAAGCGAAGATGACAGAAGATGAAAAACCTGACAGTAACAGGAAAGGCAAAATGAAGTGAAAATGAAGGCAAAATTGGGAACCAATGAGAAAAACAGAAGATAAGGGGTCTGATCCCTAAGCAGGCGAATAGATACTAAGGACAAGGAATTGAGTAAGAGAGAGGAAGAAAGTCTAAACATCAGGACAAAAAGAGTTGCAAAGCCATGGGAGAAGAGGCATTTGGGTGTATGAGTGTGATTAGGGAAAGGAAACAGTATAAATCATAATAACAAGAAAAGTGGAAAGACAAGGTAAGCCCAAAGAATTGTGGATCATGGAGTAAAAAACGAGAAATACGAAAGAACACAGAAAAGATAAAGAAAAGAACATACCTGAAAATGAAATCCAGAAAAAATTGGAAGGTTAAGAACATTTCCCAAATGGTAAGGTACATTCTACTTAAAGCAAATCAGAGAACAAAACAGAGAAAGGATTTCTGCTAATGAGATGGGAGTAGGAGGCTCAGTAAGCATGTGGTAGTCCACAACACATTGAATAATGGCTGCAATGTTTCTGACAGTTAATGAGTCTTCAGATGCCATAGTACAAATAAGGCCTGTATGTGAATAATGTCACTCATACAGAATTAAGGAAAAATCACTGTCATTTAAGATTTAATGATAAAAAGTAAAGTTTCATTAACAATGCAAATCTCAACACAATGAACTTATATAAGAAAATGAAACATATCTGTTTAATACAATGCTGAGAAGAAGAATGAAATTATCATAAGTGCAAGTCACAGGGAAAGTTACTGCACATGGAAGTTGTGTCACCTTCCTCTTGGTAGAGGGATTTTGCTTCATGACGACATCATCACGCACTAGCGAAGTTCACGTTAAAATGTGAAATTAGATGGGAGTTGCCTCGAAGCTAGTAGCACGCAACTCTTGTAGGTAGATGCACATGAGAAAGATAGCTTCTCTGTATGAAGAGATGTTATCATCTTGGAAGAACACAGGTGTGAGAGAAGGAGTCCTCCAAAGAAGGGTTGTGGAGAAGCCAATCATCCATGTAATAATGGAACCTCAGCCCCATTCAATGAACAAGGCTGATGAATGCCCCCATAACTTGAATAAAGCTATAAGAAACATCCCACGAACCTTTTCCTCATCAACATATTTGAGAGGATTTCCATCTAAATTATTAGTGTAATTTATATTATGATAACATACATGTATAACTTGCGCTTCTCACAATTAAATACCATCTACTATATGTTTGTCCAACAAACCAACTGATATTTCAATAAAGCTTATCTTCTTATCTATTAAAAGTAATAATTCACAAACATTAAACCTTTGTTTTCCTTCAGTTACTGTCTTCTGAATAGTTTAGTTCTTAACAGAAACTAAAAATGTTTTATGTATTAAAATGCATACCTGAGCATTATACCTCCTCCAAAATCCTCCTGCACCTCTGAATGTTGGAACTCCACTTTCTGCACTTATCCCTGCTCCTGTTAATGCTACTATATGTTTGGCCTTTTTAAAAACGTCATGGAAGGCTGCCATGTTTGAGCAAGGTTGCTTTCGCATTATTCCAATGATTGATGTTGATGCTATTACATTAGGTCTAGTTGTTGTTGCTGTAATTGGTCTCAGCAGAGCATGCAATGCCATTTCAAAATAACCTTTTTATATAACCTGCCTATATTTAAAAAAAAAAAAACAGATCTTACAAATAAACATGTGTAAGGTTAGGACTAAAATATAATTAATTAACAACAGTGATGACATACTAATCTGATTCACTTACTAACTTAGTAGTAAATGGGATAAAATTTAAAGTTTCAATTAAGGGATTTCAAAATTCCTTCTAAAAATTTCCTCTTTTAAGCAGACCAGAAGATTTGACATAGTAACAAAACATCTGCCACTGACTGTTTCACAAATATTCAATACTATAATATCTTTTTAAAACTGTGAGTAGATCATTTCGGTTGTTCCATTAAGCATAAAATCAGCTTATGGTCAAATAACATGGGCTATAGGATAGTTTCAAAAACACCTACTCCTAACGTTCTTGAAAGCAGTGTAAATATCTTGTACACAAGCTATGAGGCATGTCAGAAAGGCATCAAAATATACAAAGTGCTAATACTATAATTCATTTTAATTCTATTAATAATTTACATCACTAACTAAATAATAAAGGCAAATTAATTAACACTTGTTAGTTAGTATGTAATACATTCACCTTTCTGCTATTATTACCACTGACACCAAAGCCGTGCAGTAATTTTTCAAATATTACTTAAGTGGAGATTTAATGTTAACATTTTTCTTATCTGAAAATGCTTTTCTCCACAGAAAAGGCAGCTATTATCTCACACTACTTCTGAAAAGTTTTGTACATGCACCCACCTCTACACTCAATAATGTGTACTGCACCAGTCGAATATGCAATCAGCATTAGACTATATCCTTCTATCCATATGAGGGTGAAACATCCTTTATCTGCAGTACTCCACTTGAGCACACTGTGTAAATCAAAAACTCATTCTTAATAACGAAAAACAGACAACCTGGAAGTTTGGAGAAAGAGTGGGTAGTTCTGTGGAGAGGTATGTACCTCAAATACATTTTCAGATCAGGAAAATATTAACTTCAGAAATGCTACTTACCTATCCAAAAGACAGGTAACTAGAATCCCACATTGAAAAGATAGTGGAAGAGCCAGTGAAAATAAATAAATTAAAAAGATGAGCTCCTTTCTGAGATAACAGCAACAAAAAGGGAAAACTTGTGGATTGTGTCACCTACTTGGAGGGGGGAGAACCTAGTAGGGCATTATTCATGCAGAGAATACTGTTTGTCCAATAAAAGTGGTTAAGCAAAACGTATTGTCAAACGAATCTCCTGAATTATGCCAAACTGTCACAAGGATGAACAGAATGTAAAGGCTGCTCAAATAGCCTCATGTCTCAGAGAGTTTGCAAATAGTTACCAGAATAAGAAGTTGCATGGAAAATTATCCCAGACCTGCATCCCAAGAACACAACCCATCCAGCTGGCACCACCACTAAGAATGCTCTGGTTCTTAGTGTAAGGATGGCCTGTACTAAACTTCTAGGTATACTTAATTCTGACTGAGAGGTGCATTCTATCAGCTTCATACCAATGGGATTACATCAAACCAAAGGAAATAAGTCACAAGAAGAGGAGCCACTTGAAGAAAAACACAGTTGATTGCCATAAAAAAAAAGCAGTGTGAGGTGACAATGAACTAACCCAATAGGACAGAGGAAATTATCAGGGTCTGAACAATTGTACAGAGAAGAAAGTGAAGGAATGGTGATTGTAAAAAAACATTCAATCACTTTCCCAAGAAGTCTAAGTGTTGGGGAGGAAGGAGCAGTGTGGGGGGAAAAAAAAGTAACCTGTCTCTATGGGGAAAAATGCAGAGGCATTCAAGGCAAAAATATTAAAAGTGATGTCTTCTACAAATGAGAAGGAGATGAATGGAGGATATGTAAGGGCCCTGAGACCTAAACAGAAGATCCAGTCAAGAAGAGGAAATGGATGAGGAGGAGGACTAAAAAGAAATACTCAAAATAGTTCTTTAAGAACCAGAGAAGAAAAAGAGAATGGCTAAGGAAAATTTGGAAGGGCACCAACAAAGCTACACTGTAACCTGCAACTGATGAAATGGACGAAGACCCCTCAAAAGCTAGGTGAAAAAAAAAAGTGATATGAGAAAAAGATGGACATCATGGAAGAAAAGAGTGGCAAATGAACCAACATCAATACATCATCCACCTACCTTAATAAACTACAAGGGTTGATGGCCAATAAGAGATAGCAAGAAAACAGGCTACTCTGGAAGAAAAACCTGCCTATTTTTGTAAGTAACTAGATAAAAGTCATGCATGAAGATGTGGAACATTTTGGTGAAAAATGGGGATCCAAGACTGATTTAAAAAGGGATCCCTGAGATAGGAGAGATAGAAGCCCCAGAAATGCCATGTCATGGTGAGTGGAAATCATGATTGAGATGACCAAAGAGGAGAAATGAGAAGAACCTGCCAAGGGGTACTGTGAATCAAAGGCAGCACTCTGGAAAGAAGCTTATGAGGGGGACAGGTAAAGAGGGACATGGAGTGTAAGAATGGTAGCAAAAAAAAGTGGAAGCTTGGTGTAGAGGGGAGTTAGAAATGCATCAATAAGAGGACACCTAAAGTGGTAACAAATATACAGAAACACCAGATGTAAAGACCACACGTCTATAAAGGATTTGGTCGAAATGAGTTGATCTATCAAAAATGCATCAAAAAGAGGACACCCAAAGTAGTAACAAATCTACAGAAACATCAAATGTAAGAACCATTATGTCTGATGGATTTGATTCAAGTGTGAGTCAATCTGCAACAAAATTTATAACTCGTAGAACATGAAAGGCCAACAACCAGATATTGTTGATATGAGCCCAAAAGTGGAGCTTCAGAGCAAGAACTACAGGTCTTTTAAGCGAGCACCTCCTTGTCAGTTGATACAAGAAATTACAATGGATTTGTGTCAGAACAGGATACTCAAACAGTTATATCAAAAGATAGTAGCAGGTCCATTGAAATGCCCACATTTTAAGGTCACTGATGTGGAAAGACTGCTCTATAAGACCAAACACTGAAAAAAGTGGTAGTATCCAGAAGTGGCTAAAGGCATTTTTGAACAGGTGTATGGCTGGGCAGGATAGAGGAAGGTGAATGCTCACAGTCATGTGGAAACATTTGAGTCACAACAACAGTGAAAGAGAAAAAAAGATAGAGGTAGGGAAATAAGAGAAGACAGCAGATCATAGGGGATATTCCAATGGGCTACCAGAATCCATTGAATGAGACACAAAGAAGTAAGAGCCCCAAAAGAGACAGAATCTCATGCACAGGGAGAAAAGGAAACATGATAGCTTTGAAAACCATAGCTCACAATTGCATAGGAGAAGGTGGAATCCACCCATCAAATGAAGAATAAAGACTCCAAAATGTGTCAGATATTCAACACGAGTTCATACCAACTTTGTAGCATGACTAGTCAACACAAATGTGTTGACTCCCTAAGGCAAAGGGTGGGTATAGCAGAAGACGCTTCTCAGGACAAAGTTAGGAATTTCCAAATGTACGTATAGTGGTGAAAATGCAGACCCAGAGAGTTATTTTCAGGACATCATTAAATCTAATTGTAATTTTGATTAATCAATTATTTTATGTAACACTAATTGATGTAATCAATGCTCATAGGTAATTGGTTACTTGTGTTAATTACCCAGCTCTAGATACAAGTATAAGCTTTGCATTACTTCAAGTTGGTGACTATTAAGTAGCTATGAAATATAATACTAAAGTTCTTTATATTTTGATTTAGAAAGATCTTGGTGAACTTATTAAAGTGTCAAGAATGTGGAAAATATTTCTGAATATTGTGTTGTATCAAGCAATTTTACATAGAAAAGGACTTGCTGCTGTATAGATTCAGCAAGCAAGAGAAAGATATGGTTTTATGACTGAGAAAAGCATGAAGCCATTGTTCAGAATCTGTAACTATAATGACAAGAGTTAACCAAGTATAAAAAATTCCCATTGTACAAGTCTATTTAGAACTAACTTGGAATATTGTATTCAGTTTTATTACACAAAAAGTATCAATCTTCTAAAAAGTTGATAAGAACAGCCACAAGAGTGTATATAGTGTAGAACTTAGGTATGACAAGGGTTTAAACAGCTGTATCTGTTTTAATGGACAAATATATGATGAGAAAATTATATGTTTTGAATAAAGTGACTGAGATTTTCAGGAGCATTATACATGCCATCTGCTAAGTCTTTTGTGATCTTTTTCCAGTACAAAGTTATATAAAAAATTAATTACTTATTTAAACTGCCTATATATCCCATAAAGAGCTTAAAAATAACACATTACAAACAACCTTCTCTGAAAAAGCCTTCACTGGATGAATTGCATGAAGAGAAATATAACACATCACACACCACCTGCTGTTATAAAGCCTTCACTGGATGAATTATACTAATGGAAAGTAAATATGTTTAGTAATAATTGAAAAGTCTGCATCCAAATTTCCAATTCTTAAACCTACTGCTATTTCCAACTCTTTTTAATTTTATCCTTAACAAACAGACCTTTTACAGGCAGGTTATTCAAACCTCCAACAATTTTAAGTACCTACACTCTACAGAAAACAAGTCTAAAACTTTAATACTTTTCTCACAGCTCACATTTCTTAAATTAGGTATCACTCTGGTGCCTCTGTTTTTCCAAGAAGGTCTTTTTTCCAAAACAATGAGGACCTTTTTTCTACAGTGTACATGTAAAAAGTTAGAGAATATTAAGACTTATTTATATTATTATAGAAGAGTCCAAATTCTTGTGATTGGATGGAAGAGATGAATAAAAGCTTGCATTAATGTGCAAGTAAAAGGATACAAATGTTCTTCCTATTTAATGACTTGGTATAAAAAAAAGTTGAGTTATTTGTGTACGATACTGTGTGAGACTTCAAAAAACTTTGAACATGATGTATCCACTCTTGTGAAACATGGAGAAAACAAGAAAAGATGATAAAAGCTAAAGATTTGGAAAACAAAACAGGGTAGGCTTCAGTTAAGAGTTATATTTTTCTAAAAGGGTGATTGACTTATGGAATGAGTTGTTATCAGCAGTAGTGAAGGCTACAGTTAACAAAAGCTTAAAAACAGGAATTGATGGTTTCCTGATAAATAAAAGGAGGGTTTACATTTCTACTTTTCTCAAGTGTGTGTGTGTGCAAGAACAAGTGTAAAGGTCAGATTGTAAAAGTAGTAAAAATTATCAGATATTTTCTCAATGACATAAGGCTGCCTTTGGGCTAGTAATAATCAATGAATACAGCAAGTGTTGGTATTTTAAATTGTATTTTTATAAACACATCTTCATGCAAGAAACCAGAATTGGTTTAATAAGGTAAAATCTCGAAATAGTCAACAAAAGATTTATAACCAAGTTTTATTTTATGTAATATTACCTGTAGGGGTTAAAAAAGTGATGGATTTTCTTCCATTACAAACATGTGTGGAACACTTGTTAAATGTATCCATTATTCTTAGAGCTAGATGATAACTTCATATAATTGATTACATAAATTAATGTCACATAAAATAGCCAGTTAATTCTGTTTGTTTTTAAGTGCAAAACTACACAATAGCCTATTTGTGCTGTGCCAGTACCGGTATCAAAACCTAGTTTTTAGCATGATAAGCCTTCAGACTTACTGGTGAGTCAATGGGAGCCTAATCAAAATCAGTTTCTGATTATTAGCAATTTTGATTATTTCAAGTAATTGAATTATTACCATTTTGATTTATCATTATTATTTTCAATTAATTAAAAGTTGTTCAGCTTAATCAGTGTCTCAACTCCTGAAAATAATCAACTAGTGGAAATTAGTGTTTCCAAATATTCCAACTATTCAAGCCTAATGTAAGAATAACAGATTAATTGAATGTAATTGATTAATGAGCCTGACAATTAATCAATTAACAAATTCCACTAATCACCCAGTTCTAATTATTTATGTTTCCATCTTCATGTTCATTGTAACAAGAACCTTCCCAATCTAAACATAACTTCTTTCAACCACACATTATTCAATTAAAGTTTAAAGGGGCTCAAAACTAACAGCACATACACACACACACACACACCATATCATATGGCAAATCATTCCACATTTAAATCTTAATCATTTCTTTTTTACTTTCACAACTTCAGTGCTTTGCCCACATAAGAAATAAATATTTTACAAATGTGCAAGCCCCAGATGATAAAAAATCTATGCAGTTAAGTTTTTCTCCCGAGTTATACAAATTTTGAAAAATAACACTTTATTCCAATGCTGAGCTAAAAGTAAAACAAGTTACACAGAATAGGTCATACTTGAAATAGACCTATGGGAGACAAAAGATAGATCTAAAATGCAATTTTAAAACAACTAATTTCAATTTGCAATGGACAAATAAAGAAAAATGTAGAAAAAATACACAGTTAACTTGTTTTTATAAAAATTGAAGTAGAAAAGTTCAGTAGAATATGTCTAAAGGAAACAAAATACTGAATCATGTAGTGTTTGATTGAAAAATATATTTAAACGAATTAATAATAAAACAGTAACATATGATTACTGACTCTGCATGTGTATTAGCTCTGATTACTGACGAGTCATTTAAGAAGCAATATTTTTTTTTAAATATACTTCAATAATTTATATTATCCTAAGATCTTACATCTGTTACTAGTATTAGTATTACTGTTACTAAAAACATACAATATTAAATTCAGAAAAAACAACAACAAAGAAACTTAAGTTTAACTTTAAAAAACTATAGTGGGTAGCCAATTTACACATGTCATGCATTTCTTTCATTTATGTAGTACTGGTTCGTCACTTGTCTTAGTTTAAGACCCTACCGTAGTCGAGTCTAAAAGAGTAAAGTAAAACATAAAGAAAAACATGGAACATAAGAAGTTAATTATCTAGCACATAACCAGTCACCAAGTTTAATTCCAGTCTATCAAAATTCTATGTAAGAAAAGATTCCTTTATTGCAAAGTTGCTATAATTTTAAGATAAGTTATATGTATAGTTTAATCTTAGTTCTTCCCACTTATATCCATTCACACGTTCCACCGGATAAATAACTAAGTTAATATTCGCTAAACTAAACTTTACCTGACCACCAAATTGTAAGGCCTTATGTTGCTCCCTCTAATGGTTACATAAATTTCAAAAGGTTTTTATTTTTCAGACAAGATTGTAATTTAATCGGCGTAAAATTTAACTTATCAGAGGGTAATACCGCTAAAAACTCATGCATCTCGTATTTTTGTGATAAAGATTCTGTCGAACGCTTTGATATTTAGTTTACTTTTCTATTCAGTGATTAATGGTTAATAGGTATCACACATGTATGCGACATACAAACATTTGATGTAAAAGATTTGTGACAAATATAATCTTATTTGACATTAAATCAAAACTTCCTAATTCCAGAACGAGGTCTTTATACTATGGGAACAAGATGTTGGCATTGTTCTAAATCTAAGTAGAACCAGTACCATAACTGCAGCACGCAATTCTAGCATGGATCTAATTATTTTGCACACGTTACTTTGACATTTTGCTTGTTCTGAACTGATCACTAAGAGTCTAGTGTATCATACTTTTTGAAATTCGGCTCGTACACTACTGTATTTCCCAGAAGTGCCTAGATCCCAGGCCACTCGATATCTGGCCTACACTTTCTTCTTAACATAAGCATCTACCTCCTAGAGTTTGAATTTTCTTTCCCTCTAAACTCTTTCCTGGATGTGGTATGTAATATCTCATCCACCCTCTGACAACTGTGTCTTAAAAATATAATTTTAATCGATTGTATTTAGCTTGCCCATGATTTGATATTTTTATAGAAGTAACGTAGTGTTACGTCTCCGTTTGTTAATTGATTTTTTGTAGCTTCCTTCCAACGCAACTTTAACGACACAAGTCTTTACTTAAAACTGGTTTATTCTTTCCGAATATAACTCTGCGATACACTTAATCTCAATATTCGCGCTAAAACAAACACTATAACGAACGAACATTAACTTCAACAATACCCTGTGACTGCAGTTCAATT